CCATCAGCCCAGAGCCTGATGCGGGGCTCGAACTCCCAGACCGCGAGATTGTGACCTGGCTGAAGTCGGACGCTTAACCGACTGTGCCACCCAGGCGCCCCTCTAGTCTCTTTTTGAATATTCTGCCATTTCAAACACAATAGTTTTGATGCCAGAAATTTGTTAGACACACTGAAAACAGATACATGAACATTTCTCTAAATTCAATTGATAGAACATTGACATGACTACAAGGCTGTGTTGACATTGCCATTTTGACATAACATTAAAAAGCCAAACCATTTGGTTTTCAGATTTATTATCCCATCTGCCAAATAATTTGTGAAAAGACATCTTCATCCCATTTTCCAAGCCTCACCCCATTGCCAACCCCTCCTCCTGGGATGAGAGAAAAGATGATGTTTAGGTAGGTTAAGGGAAAGAAGGTGGCCAGTGTTAGGCTCCATCCACTGGACAATCATAACCAACCAAGGGTTGTCATTTGCTCTAATTCCTCACCTAAGAATGAATTATCAGTCTTTCTGAACTGTTTCCTCATGTTCTAAGAATTTAGTTTACCTCTTATATACATTTATAAAACTACATATTCCCTTATAGCTACAGGAGCCATTTGCATGCACTTTCAACTCATAATTAAATTTGGCCAATGAATAATTTCAGTGTGAACATCTAGAGGAGAGATACCTCTGATTTTTTAGGCAAAAATTATGCAAATATGATTTGGTTAAGTGTATCTGGCAGAAAGAAACTCTTTGGGTTGTAACAACGAGTCTTATTCTCTGCTCCAGGCTTTATAGGAACTCCAAATGAAATCTCTAACAATGCTCACAACATCTCAGTAATGTATTACATAGGAAGATACTATTTTGGTAGATCAGAAACAGTAAACAACTTTCACATATGGTTCAAGCAAATATATATATTATATTCTACATATTAAATTTAATTTTTCTTTCCCCACTATAAACTCCATGAGAACAGAACATGAGAGTTCTCTCCATAAGAACTTTGTCTCTTTTGTTTACTATTGTATCTACAGTTCCCAGATCATTAACTGGGGACATGGTATTTGCTCACAAAAATATGCTGCATGAATTCATGAATAAACAAATTTTCCAAAAACTCCTTTATAATATTTCTAGGTGTGTAGAACTATATCAGAAGTATTAGTTTGCTGGAGCTGCCATAACAAAGAATCACAGATTGAGGAGCTTGAACAGAAATGTATTTGGTCACAATTCTGAGTGCCAGAGTCCAAGATCAGGGTGTTGTCCGAGTTGGTTTCTTCTGAGGCCTCTGTTCTTCGCTTGCAGATGGCTGTGTTTTCATTTCTTTTCATATGGTCTTCCTTCTGTGTGTGTCTGTGTCCAAATTTCTTCCTCTTCTAAGGACGTCCATTACATTGGGTTAGGACCCACTCTAGAGTGACCTCATTTTAACTTAGGTACCTCTTTAAAACCCTGTGTCCAAAGGGTTTTACCTCTGGTACTGGTGTTAGGGCTTCAACATATGAATATTGGGAGGGACACAATTCAGCCCATCATGAGAGGTTAATCCAGTCCTTAGACTTTCTAATAATATCTTTTTTCCTGCTAATACAAGTCACATAAACTCATAAAAAAAAGTTCAAACAGTGCAGAAATGAATAAAGCCAAAGTACCTAGTAATTGTGTGGAGTTAAGATTTGAATAAGGTTTTGTCAAGACATCTGTTGCCTTCAGTTCTTGGAAATAAATTGTAATTATTTTACATTCTTTTCTGACAAACCATTTTGATGTGGCTGTATCAAAATAGATGAGTTGGAATGGTCAAGTTGAAGAGGCTGTGTAAAAATGGCCAATTTCATCTGCTGCTAATGAAGAGAATGTGGTAGGGAGAAATAAATAAGATGAATTCTGTATAGTAGTAATTTTAGGAAGTGAGATGCAATCAGGGAGGAGCGAATAGGAAAGTTCAACTGTGTTGGTAATTTTTGTTAAGCTGCATGTTGGGTACATAGTTATTACATGATCTTCATACCTTATAGTAACAAGAGTTCTGGTGAAAAAAAAATCCATACAGTCTTGGATTTTCATCAAGTTTGATGTATTGGTGATTTTGCAATAACTTTCCTTTGAATAAGCAATTATTAGCAATATTGGTAGTACTCAGAAAAGAGTTTTAATGTTTCTTTGAATTTTTTCCAGTGAGAAAGCTGAACATTTGTTGTTGACATCTTTATTAGAAAATATTTTCACAATAACTAGTAAAAATATATTGGTTAGCTAGCATATGATTTGGGGGGCTTATCTCCTTTCCTTAGGTTAGTATATTGTTCTTCAGCATGTTAATTGATTATGTTGCACTTAATATTTTGCATTAATGATTACTGATTTTTTTACCCAAAATATTTGAATATATTATTAATAAAACTCTAATATCCTCATGGTAAAATATCTAGATATTATAAACAGTATTGAATAGCAATGTTTATAATTTAATATTAACAAGGGTATGTTATATTTAACAGAAAAAAAGTTTGATCGGAATGAGCCCAGAAAGCCTCCTGTGCCACTGAGAACTGATCATCCAATCATGGGAATACGAAGCGAAACAAATTTTATAAACACAAATGCAGCCGATGTCATTCTGGGAGTGACTAAGAAGCCTAAACCAATTTATGTTGACAAAAAAACTGGAGATAAGCATGATCTTGAAACTTCAGGACTATTTCCAAAATACATCAATAAAAAGGTAACCTTATAATATATTACTGGACCTAAAATTCAAATAATTTAAGAATGATGTTCATAATGATCATCTATATTATCACTAACAGTGCTCTCACTGGGAAAATTATCTAGATTGCCAATTATCATTCCTCTGAAGTCTGTGCTTGATCCAAATTATATGTGATGAAATTATGAAGAATTTGGAAAGAATAACACCATGTTGCCTAGCAGAGGAAAACTCGGGTTGTTCCCTTAATTTCAATTATTAATATATTTACCAATTCTAACAGTCTCTGAAAGATGTTAATTTTTAGTGAGGTAGAAATTTCATGAAAAGCATAGTCATTACTATGAATCATTACTAAGAAATAGCTTTTCAGAAAGTCCTAAGGGACACCTGGGTGGTTCTGTTGGCTAAGCATCTGACTCTCGATTTTGGCTCAGGTCATGATCTCATGGCTCCTGAGTTCATGAACTCTCTCGGGATTCTTTCTTTCCCTTTCTGCCCCTCCCCTGCTTGTACTCTTTCTCTCACTCTCTCAAAATAAGTAAATAAACTTAAAAAAAAAATAAAGTCCTAAGATTTAGTCAGTAGGCTGCAGGATCTTGGTAGCAGAATGAGGAAAAATGAAGAGGAAAATAATTTTAGAGCCATCTCTCCTATCAGTGTACAATTTCAGCTTGAATGTGCTTGGAGTAAAGGAGACCTTGAAAGTACTATACAATAATCTAGTCCTTTGGGGACCTTCATCTCTATCTGAAAAGGTGCTCATCGTAGAGGCATACAATTTCATTGGTGAAAATTATAGGAGCCTGAGTTCATTTAAATATAGAAGACCTTTAAAATTTGAAAAGCTTACAAAAATACCTAATACAAAACCTATTTCATTTTGTATACTTACAGAGTACAACGTTGCTTAGAACACACATAGGAAAATATGAGTGCACAATCCTAAAGAATAGTAATATATAATAATGAGTCATGGCAAAAAAAAAAAAAAAAGAAAGGAAGGACAGAAGGAAGAAAGGAAGGAAGAGGAAAAATAGAAAAGAAATTGCAACGAAATTGCAAAGAAATTGTATGAAGGGCTTGCACTGAGGTAGTCCAATGATCTACCATGATAAATCCAATGCCTGTTCAAAGCTGAAACAGGAACTTCGAGGCTGTCGTCAGAGCACACCACCTATTCTCTCAGAAACTCTTACCACTCCATAAGCTAAGACACTTCTGGAAGACCTCAGCAGGTATCGAGGGGTTGGCAGCACATGCTCATAAAGTTATGTCAGACTTCTTTGAGTACTTCCTCCTTCTGTGTCCTGGAGGCTGCTCATATTCCTTGTCCCATGGGGTGTGGACAAGCAGAAATTTCAGTCTCCTGGCTGACTCTTCAGAGCCATTTCCAAGCCATTATTTCTCCACGATGACATAAAAACCCTTCTCCTTTGCTGGTTATGCCACCAGTGACCACTTTGTGCCCCTCTTCTGACTGCCTTCTGCCCCAGCTGTCCACTTCAATGCATCTTCTTCCCTGAACGGAAAATTCAGAGTATTCCACATGGAGACAGAAAAATGTGAAGTTAATCTACCTGTGCTTGTTTACCAAGCCATGTAAATGCTCTGCACCGATGGTGTTGCTGGCCAAGCCTTCAGGGCTCATGAAGGACTTCTCAACTTACTTCCCACTGATCAGAGTTCAGTTTTAAAAATCTGTGAATGATAAGTGAGATAGTAAGCCTTTTGAAGGGAAATGCCATTTTTTAAAGTTTATTTATTTATTTTGAGAGAGAGAGAGAGAGAGAGAGGCAGGGAGGGGAAGAGAGGAGGAGAGAGAGAGAATCCCATGCAGGCTCCGCACTGTCAGCACAGAGCCCAATGCAGGGCCCGAACTCACAAACCAGGAGATCATGACCTGAGAGGAAACCAAGAGTCAGACGCTTAACCGAATGAGCCACCCAGGCGCCCTGGGCAATGCCAGTTTTTAAAAAGTGAGTGAACCTCATGTTTTAGGTTCAAATGAAATGTTATATGCCCATTCATGCCATGAGAAACCATTTGTGAAAACAAACCGAGGTATACAGCAATAATAGTAAGACAGTGTTTCCAGTTCTCCCTCTGTGATCTTTAAGAAGTCATTAGATTTATCCCAGGATTGTAGTGAGGGTTAAATGATATAAAACCTGTCAAGCACTTGACACAATATCTGGCACCTAATAAAAGTTCAATAGAGAATGGGTATTATTAATTATTAACATTAATGGTATGCATTAGCCCTCAGTGACCCAGCACACGGGAGCATTTCAGATCACTGAAGCTTTTACCCATCTGTGAGAGAGCTCTTTTTCCTAAAATGTCTTACCTTATTCCCTTTATTAAACAGAATATGCCAAAAATAATGTTGTGATGACTCAGAATCATTATTATGAACATCAGGATCTGTACCGAGCTTTAATGAGGTGTTGCCCTAAGTGTTTCCGGAAACGAATTGGACTGTTTACCACTGCACTAATTTACCAGAATGCTATCGTATAGCATTTATTTGTATAGTGTTTTGCAACTTTCCAGAACACATTTATAGCTAGGATTTCTACCCCCCTTTTTTTTAGCCAGGGTGGGTTAAGTTATGCTTTGATGACAGACAATCCCCAATTTCAGCAGCTAAAAACCAACTAAATTTTATTGTTTGCTTACACTCCATGTCCACTGAGAGTTGGCAGCTGTGCTTCTTGGGTTTAAAAGATGAGAATCAACAAGTTCCCAATGAGAAAAGAGAAAATAAAATTGAATTTTGTCAATTTTCCATGTTCTGAGCAAAGGCTTTAAATCTGTAACATTTCTTTTTCTCCCAATCACTAGTTGGTATGTATACATATGTAAGTTGCATTCAGGATATTGATTTTTTTTTTTTTTCTGAAAAATCCTTATAAGGATTACGGTGTCACACCTGAGTATATATGTAAGCGAAATGAGGAAGTAAAGAAAGCCCAAGAAGAATATGATAACTATATCCAGGAAAACCTTAGGAAAGCAGCTATGAAAAGGATTTCTGATGAAGAAAGGGAGGCAGTTCTTCAGGTAAGTATCCCGTAATTTATATTCATATGTAACACTTTAGGACATCTCTGAAAGAAAGGTCCATTGTCGATGATTCTTAAATCCTGCCCCTTGACTCTAAAATCAGAACGCTTTCATTTGGTTATGGTGACAACTACGTGCGGCACACTGGGTTCTTTGGGGAGAGCAAAAGTTGTAATATAAGAATTATTGAATAATATTTTGTTTACAATTTTGTGAGCTGTTGTTTTTTCCTGGGATAGTTAGTGTCGTAAGGAAGCCCACCTTCTCCTTCAATGAACATGCAGAAGTAAGGCAAAAAAGCATTTTTATTTTCATTCTCATGTCCCTGAATTTTTCAAAAATAATATCCATAAAATAGATATTTTTCACTAGATGGAGCTCTAGAATAATTGAAACAGTTCCTAGACCAAATTTTTTTTCTTTCCTGTAAGCCAAATGTCCAAATTTTAAAATAACCAGCTGTGAGGTTTTTAATATATTTTCCTTATTTTGAATACAATAGACATAAAGATATATGACCTTATGTGTTTAGTGCAAGAAGCATTTAAAATATTGAGAGATGTGAGCAGGGTTGCTCCATATCTTAGGAGATTATTTATTAAGCACCTAATTGTTCTCTTCTAAAGTCATGCTATCTTGGGGCACCTGGGTAGGTCAGTCAGTTAAGCGTCTGACTTCGGCTCAGGTCATGATCTTGTGGTTTGTGAGTTTGAGACCCGCGTCAGGCTCTGTAATGACAGCTCAGAGCCTGGAGCCTGCTTCGAATTCTGTGTCTCCCTCTCTCTCTCTGCTCCTCCCCTGTTCATGCTCTCTCTCTCTCTCTCTCTCTCAAAAATAAATAAATATGAAAAAAAAAATTTTAAACTAAATAAGTAAATAAATAAAGTCATGCTATCTCTTCTAGAGATAAAAATAGTACTTTATTCTTTGTTTTGTTAGTTTTGGAAGATTTCTACAAATCCATTTCTAATGACCTTTTAAAAACATTAAAAAAATTTTCCTACATTAACTTCTGTTGAAAATGGATTTGTATGCTGTTATAAATTCTTAACATTTTATCAATGTCATAATAGTAAACATTTACTAAATTCCTGCTTTGCATATAGTATCATGCTAAGCCTCATGGATGATAAAAAGGGCATGAGATAAAATTCTACTATAGATAATGTTGTAATATAATAAGAGGTGATATGTATATATGTAGATGTGTGTGTGTGTGTGTGTGTGTGTGTGTGTGTGTGTGTGTGTGTAGAAATCATAAGTTTTGTTAGGTTCCATGACAGAGTATCTATCCACTGAAGTATGTAGGTACATGTCTTTATCTGGGCCTTCAACTGCACAAGAAGAGGCTATTCCAGACAGCAGAAGTGGTCTAAAGGCAAGGACAGTGTCTCTTTGTTGACAGCCTTTGTTGAGTACCTTACTCAGTACCCAGTATAAACACAGATGTTTAACACAGGTGTGCTGGAAAGAAGAAAGGAAGAAGGTAGGCAAGAAGTCTGGAAGACAGGGAGGTGGGACTTTGCATGTCATTTTCACAAAGACTACTGGTTTTTGGTCCATTCTCTCTCTCTCTTTCTTTTTCTCTCTTTCTCTTTCTCCTTCTCCAACCCCATCTCTCCGTAGTTCAGATTCTATCATCTTTAGAAAGTACATGCTTTTGTGAAAGCCAGGTTTTTATATCTAACCGATGCTGGAAAATAGGAAAAGGCACTAATAGATAGATCATCTGGACAGAAAATCAATAGGAAAACCTTAGTCTTAAACAACACTTATTAGACCAGTTGGACTTAACAGATATATACAGAACATTCCATCCAAAAGCACCAGAATATACATTCTTCTCAAGTGCACCTGGAACATTTTTCAGGATAGACCATATCTTATGCCATAAAACAAGTTTCAGTAAATTTAAGAAGATGGAAATCATATCAAGCATCTTTTCTAACCACAATGGTATAAAAGTAGAATCAATTACAAGATGAAAACTAGAAAAATAACACACATATGGAGATTGAATAATATGCTAATGAACAACTAATGGATCAATAAAGAAATCAAAGGAGAAATAAAAAATACTTTCAGACAAATGAACATAGAAATACAACTAAAATATATGGGATGGCAGTCTAAGAGGGAACTTTATAACAATTAAAATCTCAAATAAGCCATCTAACTTTATACCTAAGCTAGAAAAGAACAAACTAGAAAAAGAAGAACTAGAAAAAGAAGAACAAAATAAACCCAAAGTTCTAGAAGGAAGGAAATAATAAAGATCAGAGTGGAAATAAATGAAATAGAAACTAAAAAGACTAGAAAAGATCAATTAAATTAAGCACAGTTTCTCTAAAAAGATAAATTAACCTTTAGTTAGATTCACTAAGAAAAAAAGAGGACTTGGGGCGCCTGGGTGGCTCAGTCGGTTAAGCGTCCGACTTTGGCTCAGGTCACGATCTCGCGGTCTATGAATTCGAACCCCGCGTCGGGCTCTGGGCTGAGGGCTCAGAGCCTGGAGCCTGCTTCCGATTCTGTGTCTCCCTCTCTCTCTGCCCCTCCCTGTTCATGCTCTGTCACCTTCTGTCTCAAAAATAAATAAACGTTAAAAAAAATTTTTTTTAAAAAGAAAAAAAGAGGACTTAAATAAATAAAATCAGAAATGAAAGAGAAAAAGTTACAACTGATGCCACAGAAATACAAATGATCATAAAAGACTACTATGAACAGTTCTATGCCAACATTTTGGACAACCTAGAAGAAATGGATAAATTCCTAAAAACATACAGTCTTCAAAGACTGAATCATGAAGAAGTAGACAATCTGCATAGACCAAGTGCTAGTAAGTAGATTTAATCAGTTATCAGAAAACTCCCAACAAATAAAAGTCCAGGGCCAGATGGCTTCACTGGTGAATTCTACCAAACATTCAAAGATTTAACATCTATCCTCCTCAAACTCTTCCAAAACGTCAAAGATGAAGGAATGCTTCCAATATCATTTTATAAGGCCAGCATTACCCTGATACCAAAACCAGACAAGAACACCACACACAGTCACAAACCATAGACCAATATCCCTGTTGAACATAGATGCAAGAAACCTCAACAAAATATTAGCAAATCAATTTCAGTAATACATCAAAAGTATCATTTGCCATGATCAAGTGAGATTTATTTCAGGGATAAAAAGTTGGTTCAATACCTGCAAATCAATCAACATGATAGACCATATTAATAAAATGAAGGATAAAAACCATATGATTATTTCAAAGATGCATAAAAAGTATTTGACAAAATTCACCATCAATTTAATTATAAAAATTCTCAATGAAGTAGGTATAGATGGAATGTACTTCAGCATAATAAAGGCCATGTGTGACAAGACCACATGCTGAACAGTGAAAAGACAAGGATGCTCTCACCACTTTCATTCAACAGAGCATTGGAAGTCCTAGACAGAGCGATTAGGCAGGGAAAAGAAATAAAAGCCATCCAAACTGGAAAAGAAGTAAAACCCACTAATTATGGATGACATGATTTTTCTGCCAAAAATCTGTTAGAACTAATAAATGAATTTAGTAAAGTTGCACAGCACAAAATCAAGATCTGTTTTGTTTTTATATACTAACAACAAACTTTCAGAAACAGAAATTAAGAAAATAATTCCATTTACAATCACAATAAAAAGAATACAATACCTAGGAATAAATTTAACCAAGGAAATGAAAGATCTTTGCACTGAGAACTTGTAAGACACTGATGAAAGAAATTGAAGAAGACAACATAAATTGAAAGGTATTTCATGCTCATGGATTGAAGGAATTAATATTGTTAAAATGTCTATATTACTCAAAGCAATCTAGAGATTCAATGCAATCCCTATCAAAATTTCAAAGAACAAAGTTGGAAGAATCACACTCCCTGATTTCAAACCATATTATTAGGATATAGTAAAAAACAGTATGGTATGGGCCTGAAAACAGACACATAGATCAATGGAACAGAACAGAGAGCCCAGAAATAAGTCCATGCATATATGGTCAATTAATTTATGACAAAGGGGGCAAGGATATACAATGAAAAAAGGACAATCTCTTTTAAAAGAGTGTTGGGAAAACTGGACAGCCACATGCAAAAGAATGAAACTGGACCATTATCTTTCACCATATGGAAAAATTAACTCAACAAAGATTAAAGATTTGAACATAAGACCTGAAGCCATAAAACTCCTAGAAGAAAATATAGGTAGTAATTTCCTTGATATCAGTCTTGGCAATGATTTTTTTGGATCTGACTCTAAAGGCAAGGGCAACAAAAGCAGAAATGAGCAGCTGGGACTACATCAAACTAGAAAGCTTCTGCACAGGGAGGGAAATCATCAACAAAATGAAAAGGCAACCTCCTGAATGGGAGAAGATATTTGCAAATTGTATATCTGGTAAGAGGTCAATATCCAGAATATATAAAGAACTCATACAACTCAACAACAACAGTAACAACAACAACGAAAACCCAAACAATCTAATTAAAAAATGGGCAGAGGATCTGAATAGATACTTTCCCAAAGAAGACATGCAAATGGCCAACTGGTACATGAAAAGATGCCCGACATCACTAATCATCAGGGAAATGCAAAGTAAAAACCACAATTAAATATTGCCTCACATCTGTCAGAATGACTATTACCAAAAAGACAATGAAAAGTGTTCATGATGATGTAGAGAAAAGGGAAACCTCATGCCATGTTGGAGGGAATGTAAATTGGTGCAGTTACTATAGAAAACATTAGGGAGGTTATTCAAAATTTAAAAATAAGACTATCAAATGATTCAGTGATTCCACTTCTGGGTATTTATCCAAAGAAACTGAAAACACTAAGTTGAAAAGATATATACCCCCCTATATTTACTGCAGTATTATTTACAATAGCCAAGATATAAAAGCAATCTAATTGTCCATATGTGTGTTGTGTTATGCTAAGTGAAATAAATCACGCAGAAAAAGACATACTATATGATTTCACTTACATGTGGAATCTAAAAAACAAAACAAAACAAAATTCATAAGAGTGGTGGTTGCCAGAAGGTAATGCAGTTGGGGGTGGGTGAAATGGGTGAAGGAAATCAAGAGATACAAATTTCCAGTTATAAAATAAATAAGTATGAGGATGTAATGTACAGCATGATGACTATAGTCAGTAATATTGTGTAACACGTTTGAAAGTTGCTAAAAGAGTAAATCTTAAAAGTCTTCAGTACCAGAAAACATATTTTGTAACTTTCTACAGTGACAGGGTAGCTAGGCTCATATAGTTGTATGTTCTTGAGTCAGCCACATTCTGCTCATTCTTCATAAAATAATAGTCTCACTATACCTGCAAGGGGTCATCTAGTCTAATGATTCCACACTTCTCATTTTACAGATGAGGATATAAAAAGCAAATATATTGAGTTTTGTTATCTATTCATTCATTTGAACACCTACCACGTTCCAGGCACTGTATCCAGGCCAGGGGGTACTATTGTGAGCAAGACAACTGCAATCTTTACTGACAGTGAACTTAGAGTTTGGTTTACATTTGCCCTTGGTCACAAAATTATCGAGTAGCTAAAAAGGGACTAAAACCTACATCAACCACTTCATAGGTCAGTGTTTCCCCACTACGTCATACACACATGCATAGGAAGTAACAAAAGGAAGCTCTGTTAGTCGGAGATCCAACAAGAAATACAAGGGACCTTCAGCCAGGATTCAGGATTCTGAATTTATGAAGGAACTATTTACAGAAGTGAAGCAGGGCTAAGGGAGCAAACAAAAAACACCAAAGCACCTCAGGACTGAGGACAGTGGGAATCCATCACCACCCTAGGCTTAACAGCAGAGGCAAGAAAGTGTTACCAGAGCATGATAAGATCTGGAGCCTGGAAAAGGGGCCACCTATCAGGATTGCAATTACAGACAGATGAGCCAGAACTAGCGTCCAGGTAGTCAAGGGAGAGGAAGAAGAAATGCCCCAACCTCTCTCTCCTCCCACCAGTGCTGATTCCAGAGGCTGGAGGGCAAAAGAGCTGGAGGTATTGTGGGGAGCCCGCCCACAAGAATGAACCCTGACTCCCACCCCACAACACCATGGCGCTCATCACAGAGCGGGACAAGAAGGTGGAGAATGGATGGGGGTGTTGTGGGCACAAAAGAAACATGGAACCGGAGCCACTTATTTATTTTATGACTGCTTCTTCCTAGTTGAAGTTTTCCCCAAATTAATGATAAAAAAAATGAAGAAAGAAAAATTAATAAAAAAAATCACTGCAATGAATAAAAGATGTTTTAGATGCAGTAACAAAAGTAAGTTTTAAAAACAGCAAAGAGGCTATTTCAATATAATATGAAATATGAGTTACATCTAGTTCCCATCTCTGGCTGTTGACTTTGATCCAAACATTTTTGTACACACTGGAAGATAAAGCAAACTATCCTTTAAAAGATAAAGGCTACAGAGAAAAAGTGTAGCTGCTGTGACCACAAGTAATGTGGAAATATCACTCAAGTAGCTAGAAAAACCTTTGATATTTGAAAGTGTATAAATGCATGGATTTCCTCTCTGCAGTAGACACCCCTGTGGAGCACTGTGGAAACATATTTTTCATTTCATAATAAAAGACTATGAAAAAAGAATTCTGAGGTCATCTTTTTGGAATACATCTCATACACTATTAAGGACTATACGCTAACCCATCCCCCTCTTTTTAAAATTTAACCCGGATATCTTCCCTCTATCTTTTCTTTAAACCCTTTATCTAGACTCACTCAATGAGGGTTCAAAATCCGTTGCCCTTTCCCCCAGCCAACCTATTCTAGTTCTCATCATCATTTTAACCTAAGCATAGAAATAAGCCATTGAAATTTTATTATCCCCCAAAAGTTTTTACAAGATTAAATTTGTACTATGAGGGCTTATTATGAAGGTGTGATTATAAGGCACTTCTAATCTTTTCCACAACCTAAATATATAGCCATGGATTTCAAGGACTATATTTTCAAGACAATATTTTAAATTCTATGTTCAGTTTGACTGTTTTTGTGTAAATAAAATGATTTGTGCATCAATAGTGAATAATAGAAAGTGTTAATTTTTCAAATTTCAGAGCACAAATTTGATTAGAGGTTTTGGCCCATTTTGTCAATGAGATCTCTAGTGCACTGTCATAAGGGACTATGCAGAGATGAAATTACCTTTATTGCTCCTAAAAGATCCCTAATTTTGAATTCATAGATTACTGAGAATATAAAGCATTAACTCATTAACTACATTATTGAATTAGCATGTGTGTTACATTTAATGACATCTCAGTCATTTCTAGTATACATTAATGGGAAGTATAGATCCTTTGACTATATGAAGAGTTCTTTATAATACATGGAAAAATACATAAAAGATCATCTCTTGTTAAATTGAGTTTTGGCATTTATGCAATTCCATTTAATCACATATAAGCAAACATGCCATGCAAGCCCAAATCAAGCTTTTTCATGAATGAAGATAATGGCTTAAAAAAAAGTTAAAGAAAAAAAACCTAAAATTTTTACAATAAACAATTTCCTATTCAAAAATATGTTTTGCCTGGTGAGGAGGTGTGGGGGTGGGGGTGGATATCACTTTTAAATTGTTTTTACCAAAACATTTGCTATGAGTTTAGTTTCATACTACTTGTAACTCTGCACATTCATAGTTGATGGTAAAAACAAGTACAGTAACATTAAAAACAGAGCAAATAAATACTCCCTCTGGGAATTGAACACACAATCGAGGACAGGACTTGGCCTCTGTATAATATGTTTTGTTACTTAGCCAAGTACTTGATAAATACTTATCATCCTGTAACGTTATCTTCCTCTGTTTTCTTTATCAATTTGCATTTTTCTTCACTAGTATACTTTTTTTTTTTTTTACCATTGACATTACTTTTGCAGCTACTTTAATATTTACGGTGTTCGTCACATTTGCAGGGGCTGAAGAAGAACTGGGAAGAGGTACATAAGGAGTTCCAGTCCCTCTCTGTGTTCATCGATTCCATACCGAAGAAGATTCGCAAGCAGAAGCTGGAAGAAGAAATGAAGCAGCTGGAACATGACATCGGTGTCATTGAAAAGCACAGAATTATTTACATTGCCAATAAGTAATAATGGATTTCTAAAATAGAGTCATTTTCACGTAGGAAAAAGCCCTATGGAAAACATAAACATGAAACTTTGCTTTTCAAAAAGGAAAATACTCTGAAAGAGAATAAAAATAGTTTTTACCAAAATGCTTAGGCAATGTTTAAAGGATAATTGAATTATTCTACTTACATGAGGGAAAATTCTGTTTTTACCAGCGTTACGTTTTCTAAGCATGAAGTTTGATGTTGCGTGTTCCAACTTGTAGTATAATCCATTATTATTATGTACTTGTTTCACATAAATATTAATTTCCGGGCCCCAAAGAATAAAGCCAGCACTAGGAACTTCCGATTTTTTCTACACTGCACGATACAAAGAACACAACATTAAAAACTTAAGTATTTTGAATTGGAAATAGTGGCATATGCTTTCTTGCTTCTCCAGTGTTCTTGGCATATTTTTTCAGAACCGCCCACGTTCTAGGATAGCCTATGTCATTTCCAACCATTCCCAACTGCAAATATTTTCAATGTCTATAATGCTATATATGCCGAAGGGGCTTATATTTCAAGGAAGAAAAATGAAGAAGGCAGCATAAAATCAAGAACACAATTTACAAAATGCATCACTGAGGATAATCAAAGAGAATAACTTTCTTCCAAGCATACCAACTTTTAAAAACTTTTCTATTCACTGTAAGTGCTTTACTCCATAATTCATTATATGTGTTGCACTGAAATGGGATGTTGCTTTTTCTTTTTGGTCCTATGTATCTATTTTTTGAATTCCAATGTTTCTATTTGTAAGATTAATTTATTAAGCAATAAATTTATGTGAGTAGAGCTGTCTTCAACTCTATGGCTATAAGGAAAGTCTAAAAGGAAAAGATTTTTTTTTATGAAACTTTAGAGAAATTCAGTAATACATATGAAATAGAAAATATCAGAGAATAACAACATCTGCTACTAACACTGATTTTAATCTTATGGAAAGTAGAAAAAAATATGGCAACCTTTTGAGACTTTTCCCAAACAGAATTTGAGAGCATGGTACAAAAGCTTACTTTAAATAAAATGGTTATACACAAATGTTTTTGAAAACTCACTTTAGGCTTTTTTCATATCTTTTTATGAACATCATTTCTTTATTTCTTTATCACCTTCAAGCAGATCTAAAATTAAAATAGCAATTATCCAGAATGGGTGGTTGCCTCTTAGGGTAAGCTAATAGCTATAACAATAAACCCCCAAATGTATAATAATAACATAATAGAAACTCATTTCTTGCTCACATAACAGTACTGTGCTGTGAATACATGAGCAGAAACTCTTTTGCACACAGTTGCTCAAGAACCCAGACCTAGGGAGTGGGTAGGCTCTGTTCTATCCAGAGTTGGGAGACTCATGGACAGGCCAAGCCTAGAAAAGATACACACCATTTCTGTTTGCATTTTCTAAGTCAGTTACACTAATTGCACCAACTACCTCCAAATCTTATTTGCCTGATAAAAATTTCTCATTTACATTATTGTCCTATGTTAATGAGGAGGGTATGTCCTCTGTTCTCATGCAGTCAGTTAGGGACTCAAGTCTCCTTTCGTCTAGTGGCTCTGCTCAGTACAGCCATCCTTCTCCGTGACACTTAAGGATAAGATGTAGAATTTTATTTGTGAGATGATTCCTATACATACTAAATTTTAAATAATTCAAAGTCAGTAGCAATGCAAAGAAACCCGAATTATTTCAGCTTTATCATGGTTATGTTTTGGGGCCATGAATGAGAGTTGCCTTAAGTGATATCCCTGTGGTTCTAATGGATGATTTTTCTCTCGATTTCTGTAAATTTCTACTAAAGAATACATACTTTTCCCCAGGCCCACAATGTTGTGCTAGATTGACTTTATTGCCTTTCTCACTCACAGGCTTCCTAGGGAAAACTTCCTATCCGTTGTTCCTGAGACATTATCCTAAACCACCCTACCATGGGATCCCAAACTTGAAAAGCTCCAGTGCAAGCTTCCCATATCCACATCCAAACACACACACATACACACACACACACACACACACACACACACACACACACACACACACACCTGGGTCATCCTACCAGGCAGGGGAGGGACAGACACCTGACTCAGGCGTTTGGTCAGTGACTGATCAGATTCTCTTTCTTGAGAACGTGAATTAAGAGACACAAGACCACAGGCATTTGGGAGAAGGCACTCGAGCCTAAAAGGTCAAACTTCATGCCTGCAGCTAGTTTGACTTGGTTTCTATTCCTATTCAAAAGAGCTCTGAATAGAATAAACATCTGAGGGGCGCCTGGGTGGCGCAGTCGGTTAAGCGTCCGACTTCAGCCAGGTCACGATCTCGCACTCTGTGAGTTCGAGCCCCGCGTCGGGCTCTGGGCTGATGGCTCAGAGCCTGGAGCCTGTTTCCGATTCTGTGTCTCCCTCTCTCTCTGCCCCTCCCCTGTTCATGCTCTGTCTCTCTCTGTCCCAAAAATAAATAAAAAAACGTTGAAAAAAAAAAAAAAAGAATAAACATCTGATATGGTCTGGCTCCTTGCCTGTGATTTCTTCCAATTGGTTCCTTGAAATGCTACCCCCACCCCACTGTGACTGTGTGACAGGCGTTCCTTTAATACTGAAGTATAGAAGCCTCCCAAAATTTTGCACAGTGTTTTTCTCTACCCTTTTTTCCTCCTCCTGCCTATCTGCCTGGAAGATCTCTGCTCTTCAAGAGTTGGATCACATTACATTTCTGTGACATCCCTTTTTGATGCCTCAGACTCTGTCCTCCTATTCTAGCATTGCTCATATCGTATTGTGCATATGTGGTTATCTGCTGCTTCCCACAAAACGGCAAGCTTCTGGGGGAGAAGGGACTGTATCTCATCATCTGCATTCCTTAGAATCTACATAATAACTGGTAGATAGAAAGTGCTCAGAAAAGTCTTTGTTGAATAAATTAATGATGCCCAAGCATATATATTAATGACCCTTTGGTATCATTAATTATCATGACAAAAATCAGACTTAGAAGATAGGGATTACTAAACAAAGCAGTTAATACAACAGCAGTTTGCTGCATTATCAAGTCAGGGGAAGGCAATTTCACGTAGTGCTTATGAACTTAAGCATTGGAGTTGGGTGGACTCAGGTTCACATCCCAGCTCAACACTTACTAACTGTGCTAAAATCTTTTTAAGCTATGTTTTCCTGGGGCACCTGGGTGGCTCAGAGAGTTGAGCACCCAACTCTTGATCTCAGCTCAGGTCATGATCTCACGGTTCATGAGATGGGGCCCTGCGCTGGGCTTTGCACTGACAATGTGGAGCCTGCATGGGATTCTCTCTCTCCTCCTCTCTCTTCCCATCTCCCCTTCTCTCTCAAAATAAATAAATAAACTTAAAGGAAAAGATACGGTTTCCTAATCTATACGATGGGGTCGATAACCCATAGCCATGCTTTGCGGAGTTGTGATGAGAACAGAATGAAACAATACGTGTATAAAAGCATAGTCCCTGGCATGTAGAAGGATAATACATTTATTGCTAAGATTTATTATTAAGAATCCTTCAATTCTGTAGTACTTCTGTCCAATTGGTTCTGGGTCCATTAGTATACTGTCAATAGCATTTCCCAAGCTTATAAAATCCAGTTGCTGGGAAGGACCTGACTGAACATTTTAGAAGTCCTGAAATTAGCCTAGTCTGGCTAATCTCTTTAGTGGCACATGCAGATGGTAACTGTATTTGGAAACTGCTATCTGTAATAACTGGCAAAAATTTGGCAATACTTCCTGAATTACTCAACACAGATATTCCCCCTCAAAAAGATAAGCTTAAATCATAAGGCTGCCAAGCATCACTAAGGAAAAAGGTTTGCAAGGCTATCTCTAACAAAGCCTCATGGGTTATATTTATTAGTGAATTAATGTGACCCAGGGCCTGACCCCAAGTCTGAGGTCCCACAGGTTCACTGTTCTCAGGACCTCAGAGACTGATACACATGAATGAAAAGGTACCTGAGTCTGAGTTGTCATCTGAAAATCAATTTTTTTTTTACTGTAATCAAACACATAACAAAATTCATCATCTTAACCATTTTGAAGCATACAGTTCAGTTGTATTAAGTACATTCAATATGTTGTACAACCATCACCAGCATCCTTCTCCATTAATATTTTCATCTTATGAAACAAATTCTATAGCCATTAAAGAAGAACTCCCCATTCAGTCCCTTCCCCCCACCCCCTGACAACTGTCATTCTACCTTCTGTCTCTATGACACTTAAAAATAGTCTGAAGAATTAATAGAAGTTGGGAGAGGTGGGGAAGAGAAAGGTTGTGGGAGGGAAAGAATTCCAAGCAGAGAGAATAAAATGTGTAAAGAATCTGGGGCAGGAAACCCTCAACCCTTAGGAGGAAGGCAGCCATTGGAGCTGGAGTGTACAGAGAAGGGAGAAAGATTCAAGCTGAGGATGAAGAGGGAAGTGATGGGCATTAGTGTCTTCTAAGCAGGGAAGTGGCATGATCCAGTCCATTTTTAAATGAACACTTGCTACATGGATTAAAGTAGAATGAATGAATGAATGAATGAATGAATGAATGAATGTGGGAAACTAGGAGATTATCCTAATCCTGCAGGTAAAGAAAATTGTGGTATAAAAATCAGTGCTGTGGTAGTGAAGACAAAGCGTAGCTGTTGGCTTCAAAGAAATATATAACAAATAAAAATATAACTTTGTGATGGGTTGAAAGAGGAGGAAGAGGGAGATTTCAAGGATGACCACCAAATTTATGGTTTTAGCAGCCAGTCAGTGGAGGTGCCATTTTCTGAGTTGGGGAAATGCAAAGGTGAACCGGATTGGGGAGGATAGGTAAAGAGATCATGAATACAATTTTAGACCTCTTGTATTTATGACAATCTTGTGATTTCTAGTTGGAGATAAATGATGACAATGGTGATGATAGACAGAATTTTACACATGTATTTGTGACAATCCTGTGACATC